GCACGAAAAATTAAATGGATAAACGTGTCAGGGTATAGCAAGAAGGGCTAGATTCTCCCTCGGGTGTAAAACCCGCTTACTTGGTTTATACACTTTCTGCCAATGCAATTCCAGAAAAGTGTAATGGCGAAAACGGAGCTGTCGTAGTCCCTTGTAAATGTTTACTTTTGACCTTGTATAATTTTTGTAACAAAAACTTGTTTATATTTAAAAGGCATGTACATGAGACTCTTTTGGGACATTTATTCTTTTATGAATGAATGCACGTAGTGATGATGATTATAATAGTATCTGATACTATGCAATTGAGTATGGATAAATGGACCCAGTGTGGTCAATGTTGTGTGATTGTACAAGTTGTGTTTTGGGAAGAACTCCCTGTACAAACCAAATTTTGTTAAATTATGGATCCCGGTAAATAGGGCATAACGACGTGGTATCGAGTTGCACGGTATCCACGGGTATTTCGTAGGTTGATAGGTGATCAATAGAGTAATTATGGACACCCGATTTTTTGGGCGTCATAATGGGTGGGAATCGAGGAGATGCAGGCCATTAATTGAAATTCAAAAATAGGCACTAGACGTGTGACCATCCCTAATAAACAGGAGTGCTAAAGAAGCTCCACTCTCTATGCGCCACCTATCTCATGACGAGAGAAAAATGGAGGTTGGGGGGCAGTTGACGGGACATTAGGCGACTCGCTAATAGAAAATCAACACGTGGACACCCACAGTTGTCAGAACTCACACAGTTCATTGCAAAGAGAAGCCAGGAAGTTATGACAAACGAAGCCGAGTGCACCCCTTGGGACCTAGCATTAAATGAGACCTTGCAGCCCATTAATGTGGGGTTTGCTGGCTTTGACAGATTATTAATGAGTGTTTGGGTCCTCGAAGAACGTGGGGATAGTCTTCATTAGGAGGCATTATAATGGCCACCATACCGACATGGAGACCTTGGGGGATCCCGAGAGTAATGGTTTCCTCCTCATTAAAGCTCTGGCGTAAGTTCCGAGCGCCGATGCAAAGCATTTAATGACTAGGAATCAAGCTATGAATTCTCAGCGTTTCCCGAGAAGGGATCCAATTGTCTAGGCAGATTAGTCTTAATGATACTTGAGGGAGTATCACTCATTATGCTAGAAAGTGAACACAGAACATTAATCTCTAGTATGAGACTCAATGTTAGGGCCATCATTACAAATTCAAATATAAATACCTCTCAAAAAGTTAAACTGAGGTACACAATCTTAAATGAAGAATACTCTATGCATTACGACCTACATGCCGCTGACTGACTTGAACTTCGGAGGGGATTAGATGGGTTCACATTTGGTCTCTTTGCTAATCCTTTAATTGTTTTAGATTTATCCAAAAGATCACTATCTCAACACATTGCTGAAATCCACCCGTACAATTTTCATACTTTTAATGAAAAACATTTGAAAAAAGGAGCAGGCCTGTGGGCCCGCCAGCAAAACTCGCCCGCCTGTGAGTTGTAGCAGATAGAGCATCAGGGCAGCCTACCCTATCCCAATAGCCAGACCGGCCTTCCCTACCCCCTTCTCGGGCACATGCTTGGGCCAAACCTACGAAACCCGGACCAAATATTTTTTTCCCGGGGCACTTGGATATCCCTAACTATAATTTCAGATGGGAAAAAAAAAAAAAAAATAGCTGTCGAAGATCTGGGTTAGCATCAAATACTCCCTTGATTTGGCGAAATATTTGAGTGATCTCTCCACAAGGCCACGTTTCCAGTTAGGAAAAAAGTTCTACTATTCTCCCCTGTAAGAACATCCGTCTCCAAAGAATCCTTTGACCACAGAGTACAACATTCTTTGAAATATAGCACTAAGTTGAACCTTGAGCTTTGTCTGGTACCCATCTGGAGACTGGAGATTTTCCTGTCGTTTTACTTTCCACAGTGTCAGACATCAACAAACATTAGGTGGTTGTTCTTAAATGCCGCATATGTATCAACACGTGTATTCCTGCAATCCCGAGTGCTAAGCTAATGTCACGAGTGACAGAATACAAATCCCACTCATAAGAGATGAGGTATTCCTGTTCCGGATTACCTTCTATGGTTCTTTTCATCTGTTTTCAATGCAACACTCCACCTCACTCTCCCAAACAAATTAGCATTAGGAGAAAGAAAAAGGACAATCATCAACTTGAATGTAAATTTATAATCAAATTCAAGCAATATACGGATTTCAGCTGTTTAAATTGTCTAAACATCAGATGAACAGTTCTCAGGAAGACAAAGGATGGCGAGGTTCAAAGCCTCCAGATGGTGCTTATATGCAAGTTGGGGCACCACCATGTGGGCTTGAATTATATAATGACCATATGATAATATACCAATCAAAATTTGAAGTACATATCATTCAATCTCTATCTGTTGTGGTATTTCTTCTTGTTTGGCATCTTCAGAAGTGATCGCTTCTTCCGTAATCCCAGAGGCTTCAACAGTCCTAGTAACCCATTCCTTGAGGGGATCTTCGTTCAAATCAAGCCTCAAAAGTCCTGCAAACATCCCTCCCATGAAGGCAATGGGCTCCTGAAAGAGAGGAAACACGTGACTATATGCATAATCAATAAATCTCCAAAGCAACTACTTGAAATAGTAACTGAATAGACTGCTAGTTGCTCCAATTTTAGCTTGGACTAAGATTTAAGTTATATAATTACAAACTTTGACTAGAAAAATAAGTCTAAACTAACCACACAATGTCCACACATTCTATTGCCAAAAACTAGCCCCTGTCAATATCCAAAGAAAACCCATTGGCCTTCATCAGTTGAGCCCTAACAAGCATAAAACTTCCAGTGCAACCCTACTTAATATATTTGCGAAATAAGAAAAAAAAAAAGAAAAAAGGTGGTACAGAAATGTCTTCACTCAATACAATAGCCTATCAATCCACTTAGCACACACAACAAAAACCTCCACCAGTTGTAATCTAAACTTATATAGACACTGAACAAGACACTGCTTGATGAAAAACAATTATAATCCACAAGAGTGTAACCCGGTTCCATCAAATCCTCCTCTTCTTTACTAACATGCTATATATTAAAGAATCTACCCCACCAGACGTTAGGAATCCAAAATCTCTGAACTGAAATGGAGTTCACTCCAAAAGTGATATAAGGACATCAATAAAGCTGCAAAAACCAACAAAATTGGTAGAGCCCTAAAGGTTGACATGGAACCATAAATGAATTAACATGTCAACAAAGAAAGGCTGTATGAACATAACTCCAAAAGTGTTAAATTAAGCAGTTCCTTGATAAGGTTCTGCAGCATTGACCCCCAAAAACAGTCATGTGCACACAACTATTCAAAGTTACACAAATTATCAAGCTCTTAAGTTCATAAATCATATAATGAAACTTGGGGAGAAAAGTGACGATTAAAACTTGAGTTGGAATTCAAATAATCAAGTAATAGGNTTAAAACTTGAGTTGGAATTCAAATAATCAAGTATTAGAGTTCGATTTAGGAGAAAGATAGAGAGATTGAGGATATAATTGTTGTGTAGACTATGTTGTCTTACACTCTCTTATTTATAATAAACTGATATTATGAGAATTATAATATTACACTACATTATTAATAATATAAATAAGAACTCTAAAACTCCTCCTCAGGCTGGAGTATAAAGATAAAAAATGTCCAACTTTAAACAAAGATAATTGATGACAGATTGAGCCAATAGTTTTGTAAGGATGTCACCCAATTGATCACTAGACTTGATGTATGGTGTAATAATATCCTTCCACATCATGAGAACTCGAATAAAATGGTAATCCACTTCATGTATTCAGTCCTCCTATGGAATACCGGATTGCTAGCAATGAAAATAGTTATTTGGTTATCACAAGACATCTCTATAGGAAAGGGCACACTAATACCCATATCAAGAAATAGTGAAGGAACTCACAACATCTCACATAGAATGAGCCATGGCTCGGTATTCAGCCTCTACAGTCAAATGTGCAACAACATTTTGTCACATTCTATTTCTTGCTACGTCAAGTAACAAGATTATCACCAATAAATGTATAGTAACTTGAAGTAGATTATTTATTAGTACGACTAGCTGTCCAGCATCAGAAAAACCAGAAACAATCATGAAGGATGAAGAATGAAGAATGATACGATAATCATTTACCCGGTGCTCTTTTCAAAAACTGAAGTATATGAAAAATAACCTCCCAATGAGGCTTTGAGGAACATGCATAATTGACTAACCACACCAACATCATAGGTAATATCATAACGTGTAATTGTAAGCCAAATCAGCTTACCAACCTACCCTCGATAACACCATACATCATCAAAACTTTACCACTTTCAACATCCAACTTAACCGTGGGGTCCATGGGAGTATCAACGAGATATGCACCAAGAGTATCACTTTCAGACAACAAATCTAATGCATACTTCCGTTGGCACAAACTAATACATTCTTTTGATTGAGAAACTTCAATTCCAAAAAAAAAAAAAGAAGACCTAGGTGTTTGGTATAAAACTGCTTTCCCAATGAATCTTAAAGTGCGCAATACCATCTAAGTCATCATCTCTAATAATAATATCATCAATATATACAATAATAATAATAATAATAATAACACCTGTAGAACGACAACGACTAAAAACTGAATGGTATAAAGTAGAACACTAAACATATAACTAAAATACAACAGTACTGAACTTATCAAAACAAGCACGTGGTGATTATTTCAAACCATATAGTGTTTTCTTCAGACAACATACTAGTTGTTCCTTATCTGATACAACATAACTTGGAGGCTATATCATATATACCTCTTCCAACAGCTGTCCATGTAAAAAAGCATTCTTGATGTTCAGTTGATACAACGGCCAATCACAACTCACTACAAATGAAATAAGGACTCTAACAAAGTTAGGACATACAGCAAGAGAGAAAGTCTCACAATAATCCACACTATATGTCTAGGTATAGCCTTTGACAACCAAACGGGCCTTCAAACGCTCAACGAAACCATCAAAATGATACTTCACTGTATAAATCCAATAACAACTGACAAGTTGTATACCAAAAGGAAGAGTAGTAAAGGCGCATGTCTGATTCTCATTATGGGCTTTCATTTTTGTATTCATAGATCAACAAAAGGATGGCGAAAGCCGATGTCAAAAAATAAAATTAGAAATGGAATGTTTTGTACAATTACGGTTACTTTTCCTTAATGCAATAGGCAAATAAGAAAACGATGAACTAGCTAACGAAGCAATGGGTAGGACCTCAGTAGAATCAAGTAATGACTGTGAAGCTATAAAGTATGGAACTACCTGTTTGTCCGTGGAGCAATTATACACCTATAAGGGAGGAGAAGGAATAGGGGAGGAAAAAGGTACAGGGTTGGGCCAATACGTAACAAGGACTCCCCCTAATTGGGAAAGATTAAATCTGGAAAAAGAGTATGTCCAAAAGCAGCGAAGAAGGCAGATGACTCAAAAAAAAAACATCAGCACTAACATAGTATTGTCGAGAAAGAGGATCATAACATCGACAACCCTTCTGAGTCCGAGAATATTCCAAAAAAATACGAAATTTTATCCCAATCTGAACCAAGAAGATGATCAAATGAAACACAACTAAAGACACAAGGAATGAGTCCAAATGGTGGTTTCTTAGGATAAAGTAACGAGAACAGAGATTTTTCTCCAAAATGGAGAAAGACATATGATTAATAAGATAGATTGAAGTAAGGACAACATCAGCCCAATATGGTTTTAGCACATGCGTGTAAAACATCAAGGTGTGGGCAACAACTAACATATGATGATGTTTACATTCGACAATACCATTTTGTTAGGAGGTATAAGGAGAACTAGTTTGATGGATAATGCTATGGTCTGCACAAAAAAATTTCATAATTGATTGAATATACTTAATTACATTACCAAACCGAAGAACTTTAATATGTTTATCAAACTGAATCAAAATTTCATTATAAATAGTGGCAAAGACCTTAGGCAATTCAAATAGATCTTTCATAAAAAATAATCAAGTCATACAAGAGAAATCATCAACAAAGATGACAAAATATTAAAAACCCGAAATACTTTTGGCTCTTATAGGACCCCAAATGTCGGTATAAACAACATGAAATGGACTGGCCTGACGACTTGAAGAGCTAGGACAAAAAGAACTATGGTGATGCTTACCAAAGTGACAAGCCTCACACTCTAGCACAGAAAAAGAACTCAAACCACGTATAACTTGACGTAACTTTTGTAAGGAAGGATGACTCAGTCAGAAGTGCCATTGAAGAGGTGACACTGTAGCACTCAAAGACTGAACAGAACTACCAAGAGCTAAGTAGTACAGGCTATTACTCTCATTCCCTAAACCAATCAACTTCTTCGTCTTGAGGTCCTAAACAACACAAGAGAATGAAGAAGATATTACAGAACACTGTAATTACTTAGTTAATTGACTCACATATAACAAGTTAAAGAGAAAATTAGGAAAAACCAAATCAAAGGTTAATGACATAGACCGAATAAGATAAAAATAGTCAGTCCCATGTAGTGGTAAAAACAATAATTAACTAACACAATCCGTTAGTTAGACGAACAAAAATTAAAGAATAGGGAAGAATTACTAGACATATGAGCACTATCTTCTAAATCAATAATCCAAGATTACAGAGAAGGTGGAACAACTATACATGCAAAGTTACCTTCATTAGTAAGATTGGTAGTAGGAACAGATAAATATGTCGAAAGAGAAGATAACTATTTGATGAGCTAACGAAACTGAGAAGATAGATTTTCATGAGAATCAATAGTAGATGCAACTGGACCATTAGTAGACGTATGATGTAATGAAGGATCACTAGAAGCTTGATTACAATTTGTGCGTCTCCCATATTTATCCTAGCAATAAGTCTCAGTATGTCCAGTGCCACCACAATAAGTACACTTCCATTTAGATCGATGACAATGACCAAAACGAGTGCCACAACTTACATTATAGAACGAATTAGGACTACCACCGCAAACACAACCATTACAATCATTCAAAGTCTCCATAAAAAATTCATAATTAATTATCCACCCAAAATCTTGCAACACCACCAACAACTTACTCAAATAGAACCAAACAACTCAAATCACAATCAAACTATTGGAAAAAAAAACAAGGCGAATTGGGTTGATATTCACAAAATTGGCCTACAAAACTTTGAATCGATGCTGAAAGGCCTTGAACTGTACTAGAACCCATTGAACCAGTTTATAATGTCACTAAATCGATCTATAATGTGCTAAACTGGTCTGAAATGTGTTAAATCGGTCAATAATGACACTGAACTAAACTCGAAGGTACATCAATATGGGAGGACTATTTGGGGATGGTCTTGTTCAGAAAATAGGAGAATAAGGTGTGGCAGAGGAGGAAAATACCTAAACTGGAATGAATTGGTCTAACAGAGAGGCTTAAGCCTATGAACCGGTTGGTTTGGATAGTCAAAATTGGTCTTCAAGGGAACCATGGTGCTAGACC